ATGATCCCCATAAGAATAACATGGGAAAAACGTGTCTAAAGTGAGGTAAAACCGGCAGTTCTCCACTACTGAAATACCAAGAAACATAACAAAGCACGACCTCTACTGGCCACCGGACAGAACTAACAATAAAATTGGCTTCAGCTGTTCCATAAAGATGGGAAATCTACTAGGGAGTGTGTTTTATTTATGGTTTAGGTTAGCATATCAGAATCAAGGTTCGAACTATCAAAAGCTTCTGTTTTGTCTTAGGACTTGACCAGCGATCTTCTTAAATTAGATGAGCTATCGAATTAATAAAATGATTAGAGAGGTATCTATAGATCTGTAGGTCAGTTGCAACAATATTATAAAGTCATGTAATATTACTTTACACGATAAAAACGCAATACCTCAATCTTGGAGAAGAAGACTTTTTTTTGTAACTTTTTCACATTAAAAGCTACGTCTTATTTTATTACGTCATTATTTTGGTACGTCTTACTGAAATTTAGTTATTAACTAAAGAAATAATCATGCTTAATACGAGAGAGTCTTTTAATTTACAATTTTTCAAATCTTCACCGAAACAAATTAAAGTTCCTGGCTAATTTAAAATTTAAGATCAAGAACTCGTCATTAAGAATGATAATTGAAGTTGAATAGTTTAGCAATTCACTGAATTGGGAGTTGAGTTTCCAGTTTTGTATGCTCTGTTTCTAAGGAACGTCGAAATAAAGGACTAGCTCGAAATCAAAGGGTCTGTTACATTGATGCGTCCTTTTAACAGGTTTGACAAATTTAAATATCACTTGAGATTTGTGGTTAACAGTTAGAATAAACTTAGTTGAGGCCCTATTTTAGCTATGTTCTTTTCAATTTAAATTTGCTACATCTGGATTATACATGCCCATTCATATAAATATTTAGAATGAATAGGGCTACATGTGGGGTCCATAGAGATGGGATATTTAATTCAGTTTCAAAAAGTCATTGTTGTAAAAATAATAAAGTAAACCGATAAACTAATCTACAAGAAGGCTGAAAACAGAAGAAATAATTAGTTAAAAATCTTCACTCAGCTTTGAGTGCTTATAACAATAAGTTAAGATAGTTTGTCGAGACCTAGTTTTGCAGCCTTGAAGTATGGTAATTATCTGTCTAAAGTTAGTCAAACTAAACCGAGTTAACCAACACAAGAAGCTGACAAGAACAATAAAAGTTGGTCGTACTTTAATAGCATCAAACTTACAGGATTAAACCAATGGTGTAAAGGATTTCTTTGTACAGAAACGTCTCTAAAGCTTTGCGGATTTCTAAAGAACTCAACTCAAAGCTAATGATCTATAACCTACATGCAATAAGTACGGTCTTTTCTATTCAGGAAATCTCTAAAAACCTTTTACTACTGAGTAAAATAAATTTATTTTTTTCATACTGCAGAAATAGTTATTTGTGTAACTAGTGGTGAAAGTGGCACTTTGCTGCACACGAGAGCAATGTTTACGCACGAGCCGCAGGTGAATGCGGAATGATCTCGAGTGCAGCAAAGGCCTTTTTCACTCGTGTTACACATTATAGTTTTCCTACAGTCACTATAAAGCATATAAATAATTAGTCTTTCAAACACTATACAACACGTTTTTAGGTTCAGCTGGCAACACAAATGGTGCCCTAGAGAAAGTAGTACCCGCGGTCCGTATCACTCCGCTATTTTTCCTCGGCAAGAAATGTGCTCCGCGTTTTGAGAATATAGTTCCGTATGTTTTTCTAATTTGAAGTGGTTTCCGCGCCTTAAAAAATGCTTTAAAGGTATTTTCTTGTTTATTAAGATCGTAGGAATGTTTTAAAAACGTTTAAAAGAAAAGTCCAGAAAGTTCAGAAATACCGAAACTATAAACACGAAATGACAGGTTAAATCGTAGTTATAATAGTCAATCAGCTGCTCATAGTATTTTTATCTTTAAGTGTTGCCAACCTATTTCCAAGCGTACACGGATTACGTGCATAATAAAACCACGCTGTTTTGTGTTGTTTCGTTGGAATCCTGATGTGCGGCAAAGTATAAACCGTACGGCAAAGTATAAACCGTACGGCAAAGTATAAATATGCAGCAATTAGCAGCTTTCTGTTCTATAAACAGTACAAGGAAGCCAACTTTGTCGGGTGACTGTAGGAAAAAGCTGTTTCTATACATGCGTTGCGAGTCTAAACAAGGTCCCAATAGAAAAACTGCAATAGTTTTAATAAGCGAAAATATCTCATTATCTTACTAAACAGCTGCTTGTTTAAAATAACAAAATTGAAAACAAAATGAAAGTCATTTTGTGAGCTGGTCTTTATAATGAAAAGTATTTCCGTTTTGTAACTTGGTGCTATATGACGAAAAATTTTGTTCATCGTACGGGCAAAAAGTGTCCTTTCAACTCTCGCTCAATTTCAGACCATGGTTTTGCCAACTTGAACACGTGTCGAAAATAATCATTTAACGCCCTAGTGATGAAATATACTATTCCACAATTACTTTACCTCAAGGCCTAAATTTCAATTGTAGAAAGTGCAACTTAAGAATACCATTTAAGGAACATCGCAGAGTCGTCGTCATGGGTTCAGCCAGGGTAGGCAATAGCTCGATCATCTCACAGTTCCTGTGTTTCGTTCTAGGATATGCCGGGCCACTGTGAGAGGCTGATGTTACCATCGCTGGGTACAGAGAGCACCAGTAGTGGAGCCAGCTGTGCAGCCAGTAAGGAACATCGCAGAGTCGTCGTCATGGGCTCAGCAAGGGTAGGCTAGCTCCATCATCTCACAGTTCCCTTGTCTTGTCCTAGGATATGCCGGGCCACTGTGAGAGGCTGAGGTTACCATCGCTGGGTACAGAGAGCACCAGTAGTGGAGCCAGCTGTGCAGCCAGTAAGGAACATCGCAGAGTCGTCGTCATGGGCTCAGCAAGGGTAGGCTAGCTCCATCATCTCACAGTTCCCTTGTCTTGTCCTAGGATATGCCGGGCCACTGTGAGAGGCTGAGGTTACCATCGCTGGGTACAGAGAGCACCAGTAGTGGAGCAAGCTGTACAGCCAGTAAGGAACATCGCAGAGTCGTCGTCATGGGCTCAGCAAGGGTAGGCAAGAGCTCCGTCATCTCACAGTTCCCTTGTCTTGTCCTAGGATATGCCGGGCCACTGTGAGAGGCTGAGGTTACCATCGCTGGGTATAGAGAGCACCAGTAGTGGAGCAAGCTGTACAGCCAGTAAGGAACATCGCAGAGTCGTCGTCATGGGCTCAGCAAGGGTAGGCAAGAGCTCCATCATCTCACAGTTCCCTTGTCTTGTCCTAGGATATGCCGGGCCACTGTGAGAGGCTGAGGTTACCATCGCTGGGTACAGAGAGCACCAGTAGTGGAGCAAGCTGTACAGTCAGTAAGGAACATCGCAGAGTGGTCGTCATGGGCTCAGCAAGGGTAGGCAAGAGCTCCATCATCTCACAGTTCCCTTGTCTTGTCCTAGGATATGCCGGGCCACTGTGAGAGGCTGAGGTTACCATCGCTGGGTACAGAGAGCACCAGTAGTGGAGCCAGCTGTACAGCCAGTAAGGAACATCGCAGAGTCGTCGTCATGGGCTCAGCAAGGGTAGGCAAGAGCTCCATCATCTCACAGTTCCCTTGTCTTGTCCTAGGATATGCCGGGCCACTGTGAGAGGCTGAGGTTACCATCGCTGGGTACAGAGAGCACCAGTAGTGGAGCCAGCTGTGCAGCCAGTAAGGAACATCGCAGAGTCGTCGTCATGGGCTCAGCAAGGGTAGGCTAGCTCCATCATCTCACAGTTCCCTTGTCTTGTCCTAGGATATGCCGGGCCACTGTGAGAGGCTGAGGTTACCATCGCTGGGTACAGAGAGCACCAGTAGTGGAGCAAGCTGTACAGCCAGTAAGGAACATCGCAGAGTCGTCGTCATGGGCTCAGCAAGGGTAGGCTAGCTCCATCATCTCACAGTTCTCTTGTCTTGTCCTAGGATATGCCGGGCCACTGTGAGAGGCTGAGGTTACCATCGCTGGGTACAGAGAGCACCAGTAGTGGAGCAAGCTGTACAGCCAGTAAGGAACATCGCAGAGTCGTCGTCATGGGCTCAGCAAGGGTAGGCAAGAGCTCCATCATCTCACAGTTCCCTTGTCTTGTCCTAGGATATGCCGAGCCACTGTGAGAGGCTGAGGTCACCATCGCTGGGTACAGAGAGCACCAGTAGTGGAGCCAGCTGTGCAGCCAGTAAGGAACATCGCAGAGTGGTCGTCATGTGCTCAGCAAGGGTAGGCAAGAGCTCCATCATCTCACAGTTCCCTTGTCTTGTCCTAGGATATGCCGGGCCACTGTGAGAGGCTGAGGTTACCATCGCTGGGTACAGAGAGCACCAGTAGTGGAGCAAGCTGTACAGCCAGTAAGGAACATCGCAGAGTGGTCGTCATGTGCTCAGCAAGGGTAGGCAAGAGCTCCATCATCTCACAGTTCCTTTGTCTTGTCCTAGGATATGCCGGGCCACTGTGAGAGGCTGAGGTTACCATCGCTGGGTACAGAGAGCACCAGTAGTGGAGCAAGCTGTACAGCCAGTAAGGAACATCGCAGAGTGGTCGTCATGTGCTCAGCAAGGGTAGGCAAGAGCTCCATCATCTCACAGTTCCTTTGTCTTGTCCTAGGATATGCCGGGCCACTGTGAGAGGCTGAGGTTACCATCGCTGGGTACAGAGAGCACCAGTAGTGGAGCAAGCTGTGCAGCCAGTAAGGAACATCGCAGAGTGGTCGTCATGTGCTCAGCAAGGGTAGGCTAGCTCCATCATCTCACAGTTCCCTTGTCTTGTCCTAGGATATGCCGGGCCACTGTGAGAGGCTGAGGTTACCATCGCTGGGTACAGAGAGCACCAGTAGTGGAGCAAGCTGTACAGCCAGTAAGGAACATCGCAGAGTGGTCGTCATGTGCTCAGCAAGGGTAGGCTAGCTCCATCATCTCACAGTTCCTTTGTCTTGTCCTAGGATATGCCGGGCCACTGTGAGAGGCTGAGGTTACCATCGCTGGGTACAGAGAGCACCAGTAGTGGAGCCAGCTGTACAGCCAGTAAGGAACATCGCAGAGTGGTCGTCATGGGCTCAGCAAGGGTAGGCAAGAGCTCGATCATCTCACAGTTCCTCTACGACAGGTTCCTCACCCGCTATCGAGAAACAGTTGAAGAACTTCACAGAGGTTTGTCAAACTTTTGTATCCTGGTGTTTAAAAACCTGTATCAATTCATTAAAATATAGTAAAAACATATTTGGAAAGGCTAGTTCTCCAATCCAAGTTAGTTCTGCTTTATCTGGGCTATGTAATAATCTGATAACTTATAAAGGGCAATGGTTCACTAATTTCAGATAGCGAGAAGGCGAAAGAAACTAATAAAGGAAATAATTAGTCGGTGTAGTAGATTTTCTCTCCTGGTTTTGTTAGCTCCAAAATAAGTTGTAGGAATATTAAATTCAAAATTGTAAATAGCCATGTTTACATCGAATGGCAGTCATAATACTTCTGATCTGGAGATGATATAAATACAACAAAGTATTGTTACGGTGTTAGTCACATGGACATGGCCCATGCAGTGATGAATGCAGTGAAGAGAAGGCGAAATGTGGTAAGCTTCAAGATGGAGCAGTTTCAATTGTTTATCTTCTCTCAACGAGAGTGTGCCCCTGGAATAATTGTTAACTCTGCAAGTTTATAACATTATTTTCCTTACAACGTGTTCTTCTCTCCAGGAGAGTACGAGCTCCAGGACGGAGCCTGTTTGACCCTGGACATCCTGGACACCTCAGGCGCCTACCAGTTCCCCGCCATGAGGGCACTCTCCGTCAACACAGCTGACGCCTTCATCCTAGTGTACTCCGTCGACGACGAGGACAGCTGGGAGGAGGTCAAGAAACTCAAAGACCAGGTCAGGAAACCCCTATCTCAGAATTTGCTGTAATTTAACTCTAATTATACATCAAGCTGGAAAGATTAAACAAGGAATCTTATATAGGGCACCATTAAAATTGTACTTTTTTATACAATTTAAGCAGCTACTTAGCTGAGTGATTATAGAGGTCACCTTTTAGTGAGAAGACTAGTGTTTCCTAAGCAATATTAGTACTAAGTTGCCTTCTCAGCATTAAATAACTCGTATGTCGATGAAAAAACTACTGAACAAACAAAAATCCCAAACTTAGGTCCTTAATGTTTTCTTGCACTGATTTCTTTTGAAGATGAAGATGACACCATTAGGCCATTGCAGATTTTAGTCAACATAATGTTGTTGAATACAACACTTTGTGTTATTGTATAGAAGATTTTTATTTGTAAATTTCTTCCTCTTACTAGATATTTATCTTTTTGTTAAGATGCAACGTATCGATTTAGGAACATCGCCTCAAAAATCAAGGCACAATAACGAAATACGGAAACTAAAATTTGTAGATCTTTATGAACTTAATCTCCAAAATAAAGGTCGTTTATTGAAGTATCATTCTAGATTTTTTAGAGTGGCTATAAAACGTCCTACACTTTACACACTTAGCGTGATTTATCTAGAATCTCATACTGTACTAGATCTTACACTAGTCTTCCCCTCCATCTAAATCTTTAGGTGACTACTATTACGACACCCTTTGACTCGTCATACATATTTCTCAGGGGGATTGACTGGTCTGCAAAACTCAACTGAGGCGGAACTTCAAAGGCTTGACTCCCTGGATACTAAGAAGGGGTCGACTATCGTAGAACATATATGATACATTACGTTGAATCTGACCAGGAGATTTACACTGAATTCATTTGGTGTTTTGTACCTGGTTTTCTACACCAATTGCAATTTTAGATTATTTACCTACGGCCATTTTTGTAAACTAGCCTTTTCAATTCAGTTCTTAGAATTGAAAAGGTTCACCTTCTTGTTTACTTACTTAACATTACTTGTGTTACTTTACAGTAAAAGTTTGGACCAGCGAGGTTTAAGGATTGAGAAAAAGAAGTCAAACTTCCAACTTATCATCTGTAGAGGCCTATTTAATTGATTGAGTGGTTGGGACAATGAGTCGTTGCGTCAAAATCAGTGGCAATGAGAGGTTATAAACGAAAACACAGCCTCTCTTAGTAGATTAGTAGTGATTGTTAGTAATTAAAAACGATCGAAGTAGCCTGACACTCGTAGAAGTTCTAAAGACACTCGCCTTTAGTGTTAAAGGCTCTTACCTTAACTTTTCTACTCGTGCCTTAAGGTATATCTCTACGCTATTTTTGTGTAAACTACTAATTTTAACTAAGCTGTCCAAACTCTGGTCTTATCTTCATGGATCTTTTGATAGAATATTACCATTTATTTAATACTAAAAGAAAAATTATTAGGATGTGTGTGCAGAATTTATTCCATCCATGACAGAGTGATCTCCTGGGAGCATTATGTCCACTCAGCACCACAGACAATTCTATCACATCCTCTTGCTCTACAGATCGTGGAGCGACGAGGACCCATGGTGCCCATCGTGGTGGTCTGGAACAAGTTGGTGCTGGCTGATAGGGTGATTTCCTGGGAGCATTATGTCCACTCAGCACCACAGACAATTCTATCACATCCTCTTGCTGTACAGATCGTGGAGCGACGAGGGCCCATGGTGCCCATCGTGGTGGTCGGGAACAAGTCGGAGCTGGCTGACAGGGTGATCTCCCGTGAGCAGGCGGAAGCTGTGGCAGTGTACGACTGGGAGTGTGGTTATGTAGAATGTTCAGCCAAGGAGAATCAGAACATCGTTCAGGTCTTCAAGGAGCTCCTGGTACAAGCCAAGGTATGATGGGAAATAATTGGGGGCTCAAATATGGACTGGCAGACGAATATTTGTCTTTGTGTTCATGGTTCAATTTTTGATGGGCTGTTTCATAATTTATTTTAATTGTTTGGGAGATTTGAAACAATAACGGTAGAATACGGGTTTTCATTAACTTCATGCTTTGAGATTTTACTGGTTAAAAAAATTAATCCTACCAAACCTCCTAGTAAATGAATTAAAACTATACAATTTAATATTTGTGTTCAATATCTTAGAAGTTTATTCATTTAGATATTATAGTGTTAACGTGCTAAACAACCCACTTCGCAGTCTCTAGCTCCTCTATAAATGTATTCAACAAATCTTTATGATACCCTTATATCTGATTGATTTCCTCCTACTTCTTCCATCATATTTCTTCCACCAATGACTTTTTTTGTTCTTCTTCCAGACAAGAGCCTTATCTTAAATGCATAAACTTCCTAATCTGTTCTGGTCTTCTTGAAATCCAATATCCTACTCTTTTCTTTACATAATCTCTTCATTATCTATCAACCTTCTTCTAGCGTTTTTTTGTTCTCATTCTTCCAACCTTCATATATTTAACATCCATAGAATTTTCCCTTCTCGCTTTCTTCTCTCACATGTCCAAACCATCTTAGTCTTGCATCAGGTAAAACCTCTTCCTCTTATAATGTCTTCAACTGCCTCTCTTCTTATCTATCTATTCCCAATTCTATCCTGTCTTTTTATTTTTATAACACTTAAAACATAATAATTTCTCCATCCAGAATTCTGCTACAACCTTATTCCCTTTTCCTCCACTTTTCCATTCACGTCTATCCTTGTAATCCAATCCTAACTTCAGCTGTTTATTGCACTCTTTCTTTTTTACATTACTATTCTTTCCCGATGTTAAATACATACTTCATGAAACATAATTATTTTACAGATTCACTACAATCTCAGCCCCGCTGTGAAAAGGAGGAGACAATCCCTTCCCAATTACGTTGGCAACAACGGTTCCAACTCGGCCAAAAGTAAATACATGCTCAAACGCAACTCATGCTCGGTGGCCTAACCAACTCATCCTTTCCCAGATGTATATACATGTAGTATATGGTTAACATAAGTATTTTATATAATGTTCAATGTTTTGTTGTGGAAAACCATTTGTATGTGCGGTTCCAAATATTTTCGGTTTGTAAAACCCGTAAATAAATGCAAATTTAGCTGTTTTGGGATACACAAAGAGTGACATTTTTAGCTGATATGTTCATAAATCGAAAAATGTGTTTTACGCTTGTTAGCTTTAAATATTTGATACGCTGTTGAGGATTTAAACTTGTTACGGGGGTGTTTGTGCAATAGTTTGCGGTTGACAAATTTATCATTATAAAAATATAACAACATTAAATAAAAAACAGTGGATTTTGTAAGTGGCTGTGATTGAGGAATGTATTTTTATAGATTGTAATAGTTGTTTAAATGGCCCATTAAACTGTATAGAAGTGGAAATCATCAATCAAGTTCGAGTTTAGGTTGTTTTTCCAAATATATGCTACACAATTGTTGTTTAGCTTGTTTTCTCTCAACATGATTATTTAATTGAAAACCTATTTTGAGTTGATATTTTAACATTTACAGGAATTTTGAAAAAACACTTTTATAGTCAAGGTATTTTGCTCGTAAGAATCTTGGTTTGTTTTGTTGTCTTTTCTTACTTGGATAATCTGGAAAGCCAATAATGTTGACAGAAATAATACTGAGAGAGAAGTTCTGAAATGATAAGATTTAGGAGCAAGTTACTTCCCAAAAATCTACAATAGTAATTGGAGTTTGATGATTGTGATTAACGATTTTGTCAATTATACGGTGCAATGAAAAGCACTGTAATTAAAGGGGTTTTTAAACAATGAGCTTGAAATGAATTCATAACTACCCAAATTGTTTCATTTAGTTAATTAACCATTATACAGTAGATACGAAAGCGTGATGTTTTAGAAGTTTGACTATGATCCTTCAATTTTTAAATAAATTTAAAAAAAAATTAAAAAGCATGGATTCGGTTCCGAAATCAGAGATTCTATGTCTATCTGTTAGATTTAAAAAGATTTTTTTAATATAGCCCACGAGTTCGTTTGGTTTGGAATTAAAAGATTCTGTATGGACGATGAAATACTTTAATTTCTCCATACAATTGCTCAAAAACCTTTAAAAGTTTCTTGTTAAGTCAATTCTAAAGGAAAACTTTGGAACCTTTCACTATGTATTCTAGAACATATTATTTTTCATGTTTTACCTAAATAGTTGAGAAGTTAAAACTATTAAACAATATATAAATATGCAAAACCCTAAATTTATGGCTCTATCAATTCAACAAAATATTACGAAAAAACAAAAAGATGTACTTTTATAAATATTTATGCTGTCATACAAATGCCAAATAACTAAACACATTAATCCGAATTAATTTGGCATGGGGAGTCAAGCAACCCACTTAAGAAAGGATATTTACAAACAAATTTGAATTTGAATGAATGTTAGGATTCTAACAAACGCAAAACTTGTAATCAATTTTACTGTTAACTGCAAAATCAATCGTAATTTATTACAAATGTAGCTATAAATGTAAAGTTTCTTTCTCAATGTACAACGTAGACACCAATGATGTTGATAATATATTTAATGTAACAACCATAATTTAGTATCAATGTGTTACCTAAGAGTGGACTATTTGACGATGACTCGTTTTGTCATTAAACTTAATGATAAAATAAGTTGTCTTCAAATAATCCATACACTATTCTGTTTCACGTTCATTTTCGCCAGCTCTGTATCCAGCTGTTATCTTCTGGGCTTAAGACAATCTACTGCAGCTAATTATTTTGGTCTTTCTCTGGTGATTTATCACTAATTTTATACTTTAAGCGAATTGTCCAATGCCCATACGGTATAAGTAATAAGCTATTACCTTAGGTATCAAGGCAAGACCTGGGCCCGAAACCGATTTACTTTTTATCGTTTAGAGGTCCCTAGAAGCAAAAAAAACATTCAATCAAATTTATATTCATTATTTACACGCGTATGCTTGAGTTTGAAGTTTGCAAGTGATCTTAGGTGTTGCTAAGCCGCAATACCATACCATTAATAAAATATTTTTCTTAAATAATCTCTGGTTTGCCTATAACCCTTGACTATTCATATAATAGTCAATGTCATTGACTATTGGAACCCAACAAAATCATATTTATTTTTATTAATTGCTTACAATACTGGAAAATGAATGTGAAACAGAAACGAGTACCAATATATGTACACAACTATTATGTATACCTTACTATTGTTACAGTTTAAATAAATTTATATTTATACGTTAATCAATGTGTTGTTTATTAACCCAGCACCCTCATAAAACTTAGTTAATTTTATACGACATTGAAACAGCTGTTTGAAATACATGTTGGAATGGTAAAGTATTTACTGTATTTTCATTCCTAAGGTAATTAGCATAAGCTGGGGTTGATTACCTAAGCAATATTTCTTATTACAAACTGATAGTTGAAAATAGTTCCAAATAAAAATATATAATTAAAAAAAATATCACTAAGGCGTAAATTGACATGTTTCGAAATGAGCTCTAGTTTATCAACCGAGGCAAAATAGAGGACTAAAAATGAGCTCGTGTCGAAAAGATTCTTATTGTCCGTGTGGTGAAAAACTATATTTTTCTTCATATTGCAACAATATTTAAAAACTAAGTTATAAAATGAAAATACTCATCATGTAAAGATAAACTCTCAAAACGATTTCCAATTTGTTTTCAATTTTGCTCATCCAAATAAGCAGCCGGTTTGTACGTGATTCGATTATGTAATCTATGTTGATTGTGTTAGTGTATAAAATTATCACTACAATCTATTAAATCATGATATTATTTATAGTGTATAAATTATTACTATCGATAGATCAAACTATTGACGAGAATACAAACAATAAGCTACAACCGAATAAGTAAATCAATACATAATTTCATTACGATTGCTTGCAATCAAAGTTTACAACTGTGCCTACAGCTTAACTCCCTAGGGACTAATAAGGCTTGTTACAGGGAGCAAAAGAGCTACTTTAGACCCGAAACGCATGTATTTAAAACAGCTTTTTATGTTATAAATTCTAAACATGGAACAAGTAATTTAAACTTTCATTTCAGATCACAGTGTGTATTAATACACAGGCCCAATAATTGAAACGTGGGTAAGGTATGTTTGTTTATTCAAACAACAAAATATGGAAGCAGTTTAGGAAGCTAACTTAATATAAACAATATCCGATTTTTGTTTAATTCGTTGGCTTAAAGAATGAAAACACCTTGATGAAAATATAACATGGGCCGAAGTGTGACGAACACTAACAGATCTTGTTATTCACAAACCTGGGCTTTTCTTTGGTGGTTATACTTTCACTCATTCACAAAGAAGATTCTCTTTAACCCCTAGTGATGAAATTTAATACTAATTCAATAATTATTATATTTGTAATGTATTTGCAAAATTGATTGATAACGCTTTCATTATTCACTTCAAAATACGCGGGGATTAAATATAAAATATTCGGGGAAAACAAATCTTCTTATAATACACGTGGCAAATGTAATTTTTCAAAACACACTAATGAACACGAATGTTTACATGGCTTTAAAACCACTTCAACGTTCTGCTTATTGTCTGGTGTGTTTATTTTGATGAAACAGTATTTATTTTTCAATTTGGACAATTATTGTAAATTGTTATTTGACGTTAACAAATTCAACTTAGATTATAGGATTTTCTGATAACAGGTTGACTACCGTTAAAAAAAATCAATTTATCATCTTACTCAATCCAATATATTTTAAGTAACTTAAAAACTCATATTTCAAATATTTTGTAGTGGAAATATTCTGCCAAAAATATTTTAAGTGAAATTGTTTAAAGCTTTACCACGTTTTAAAGGTTCTAACAAAGCACACCTATAGTGTTATTATTTTAAACCTCAGAGAAAAAAAATGTATTTCAATTTTTAAGGTATAAAATGCTTAACTCATTGGCGCTTGAAATATGGATCGCATAGCACTCAAAAGCTAGATTTGATTCTGTTAGCTTCGTTCAAAGATAACTTATCTGTTGTACTAGAGTGAGTAAGTTTTTAAGTAAGATTTTGAGGTCAGGCGAGTAAAAATATATTCTTCCCTACTACAAGGCCTTGACCAACATTGGGAAAACGCCACACTTGCCTATTGGCAAAATACATTAATAACAATAATAACAAAACGTGTAAACCTTAGCTTTGCGCAGACGCTCCATATGAACTAATGCGACAGCTGTCTCGGTAGGCCGGGACTGCGGTGTTGCCACTTTTCTCTCACTGCGGCCTTCTGTTACAGGAGGCTATAGTGAAGGATCAAGGCCCTACCAGAAAAACAATCCATGCTGCAGGACCCATGACGTCACACTAGTGGATAGATTCGTTGATAATTCATTGCCATATCCCATAATGTTTTAGTTAAATAAGCTGGATGTTTGTCAGATTTTAATGGTAAGATTTTAGTACAACCATTCACCACTGTGACGTAGTGTTGCGCTGCAGCATGGCCTGTTTTTCTAGTGGGGCCTTGTAAGGATGTTGAATGATAACTCTCATCATGATCAGCTGATAATTTTTCCAAAGCCCTATTGGTTGAAAACCCAATGATCTAGGAGAGCTGTGCCTCATTTCATACAGGTAAGAACTTATGACTTTTCTCAGGATAAATTTCAGTGACCCACTACTACTATGCTCAACTACCTAGAGCATTTTATGCAACACTTCCAAGTAAATGTCAAATTTACAACTTACAAATTAAAATAGGTTTCAGCAAACCAGGAAGATGAATCGTGATGATCTTTGGAAAAGATGAAACTACACAAAATGACAAAATGACATCAGTGTTATTAAACATAATTTTGTAAAAAATAAATCCATTGGTATCAGATCGCATGATCGTGGAGGCTAGTTCACAGGTACATTACACGAAATGATGCGATCACCGAATGTTTCTTGCAATGAGGCTATTGTTTCAATCGCTGAATGGTACACGAAATGATGCGATCACCGAATGTTTCTTGCAATGAGGCTATTGTTTCAATCGCTGAATGGTACACGAAATGATGCATTTACCGAATTTTTCTTGCAATGAGGCTATTATTTCAATCGCTGAATGGTACACGAAATGATGCGATCACCGAATGTTTCTTGCATCGAGGCTATCGTTTCAATCGCTGAACGGTAAGTATCGACATCATGGAGAAACCTAATATTGTTCACATCGTAATTTAATCGAGGAAGGAAGAAGTTGTTAATAGCTCTATAGTGATCTCCATTCACAGTAATATTATGGCAATTTGAAAAAAAAATTCTGTCAATCAGTCAACCCACCGTAATGCACATCAAACTGTAAATTTTCATGGATGCAACGGATTTTCAACCAAAAGTTCTTTTATTTCCTTCACTCCAAATCTAGCAGTTTTGTGGGGATGCGTTCATTACTATGGTCTCGATAATGTCCATGATTATTATAAGCTTTTTGTTTGTATATTTAAAACAGCAACTTTTCACACTTATTTAGAATCATGTATTTCCTTCAACTACATGATAATGATGGAACCCTTTGCAGACACTGCAAGGAGCCTGAAACCCTTCCGCATGTCCTTGGCTCTTGTCCCTTTGGTGCCTTACTGCGTAATGCAAGGCACCATACTGTAAGAGCAATGATCGCAGAAGAACTACGAAAAAAGGCTGGCAAGTAGTAGAAGAAATTGGCGTTGCATTGAAGATGGTGGATCGAACAGAGGATTGGACATTTTAATATATGATACC